ATGGGCCACATCTAGCTGCACAACTTATTTTATCTATTCTGCATACTCATAATTAATCGAAGATTATATTTCAAGCTCGTGCATTAAGAAAATAAAACTTTACTCATAACTAAATTTTAATTGGAAAGTCTTATTCCAGTTAGTAATTTAAATAATCTTATTAAGGTCCTCCGCTGTTTACATCCCTTACCGTCTGGCTTTCCATGGGTTATTATCAATAACTTTTGATTAAAGCAAGCTACCTGCACAGATTAATACTTATTGAACCACACTGGATTGCCCAATAATTGGTTTCTTACATCAGTTTCCAAAAGGATCCTAGTCTAGCAAGTTATATTTTCAGATTTTCAACCCTCACTTGTTGGTCTTGTAGGAGTCCAGTGCTGTGTCATTGCCAGTTTGGTTGTAGATCAGTAATCTTACATTGATTGGATAGTCACTAAATCCTCTGACCTTCTATTGGTTGTGCAGATGTTTATGATTTCCAAAGATTAAAGTCTTTGTAATCTTGTTCCAGATCCATTTAATTTGATGATGGATCCTCTTGGTGATGATGGATGCTCTTGGTTAGAATTGTTTGCTTCTTCCAGTTTGCCTATCGATTATATTGACTCTTGTTCAGCCTATCTTGACATGTCCATTGTTGCCCTTGTCAGATACAATCATCTGAGGTAGGGATTTGTGATTTAAAGTGTTTTTACAACTGTGAATGCAGTTTCTTAGATGTTAGAGGTAGTTAATTTTTACACACATTTTTTTATATAACTCTACTGAAGTGTGAATTCCAGGTGAACTGATTATTAAATGTAATGCCTAGAAACTGAAGGTGATAGGTGTGTCATTATACCTTTAGTTTGACTTTCTTTAACCTATGAAACTTCTTGTTTAGGCTTTTGTGAAAAATTATCACCTGAATTTTTGTTACACCATACTGTGATTTCATTAAGGGATGTATGGCTGCAAGCGTGGGAGCTGTGAAATGTGATTCATACCACTTTGTCTTCTCTATACTAAGATGCACACAGCATGTAGAGCGAGGTCTTAATATGAATATTTGAATTTTAATGCACACTTTGCCAGTGCAATTTGTGAGTAAAACTGTGACCAACCATAAAAACATTGGTGAAATGTTATAAGGTTTAAGCTCGATTTTAAGTACATTATGCAAAGACAGTCAAGCTCCAGTGAGATATATCTAATGACATCTTTACCTGATGCTACTTAACATCCATTCAAGATTGTGATCTATGTTCAACATGTGTATAATGAATATTTATTTTTGTTTGCGACTTCTAACCTCTATTGGTTTTTAACAATCTTCTAACCGAGCGACTTTTTGTTTTAGTGTATCGATTGTTACAATTGGCATTTCCTTGACTAGCAAACTTCTAAAGCTACATTAATGTTATGTTATGTTATAAACTTCAAATGTTGAAATTACTGTTATATTTTTTGACAATTATTTCTAGGAAACTCACTCTTATACTACTAGATTTTATAATCTCACTGGGTTTTGCCATGCTAGATTTAGTTTGAGATAAGGGTGTCTTTAAAACATATTCTAATGTGAAAGATGTCGGTTTTTGTGAATTTTTTTATAACTTATTTCAATTTGTTTAACTTTATTAACTTGTGTTAAGTAGTTGTTTAGGTTTTGTGAAGTTTATAATTGCATCGGATTTTTCAAAATCAGAGCTTAAAGACAAATAAGAATTTTTCTATACCAAGTAAATAAATCAGTGGTTTGGGAAGCATAGACAATGACTAGAAAAAGATACCCCACCTGGCCTGATGATTCTTGGTATTTTACGAAAACTCTCATTGTCACTGGATGTGGCAGACATAACGTGGTTGACATTATTAAAGATTGTTCTTTGCTTTTACTCACTACTTCTCAGAATGTAGTACAAAATCCTGTTTATTTATTTATTGGGAAATGCTGATCTACTGTATATATATTGTGTATGCTAAGGTTTTAAAATTATTTTATCTTTTTCAGTGCCTAGAAGCCCTAATTAACCTGGGTTGCTATGTGAATGCGAAGAATTTCCAAGGGGACACTGCTCTTCATATCATGATCACAAAAAACAAATTATCTTGTGTTATGCGTCTTCTCAGTGAGGGTGCAGATGTCAACATCTGTGGTGCAGGCGGAGAGTTGCCACTACATTTGGCTGTCAAGGTGATTACTAGACGTAATGAACTTAAATTAGATGTGTAGTTTCTAAATAGTTTTTAGTATCCAATGTCATATTGTTAGTTTACGTGTATGGATTTCATCAGTCATATAGAAGTGAAATAAATTATTAGACAGACCCCCGTTATTTATTTAAGTCTTCTCTTGCTATTTTGATACCAGCTTCAAAAGGAATAATAATTTACAGTTCTTTAATGTTATTCATATATATATATATCTTTCAGAAACTGAGAGGAACACAATTTTATTCTGCTGTTAACTGAGATAGGCAATGCTCAGCTATTTACACACCAATTCTGATTTTATTTGTTTGTGTTAATATCAAGTTTCTTCCATTTTACAGTGAATATATATATTAAAGGCTGATTGTTCCAGAGCTTACTGGTTGACCCAGCAAAATGAGAAAGGGATTTTCATAAAATAACCATTTAATGAAATACTCTGTTGAAAATAAAGGAATCACCAATTAGTAACATACAGTAAACAATTTTTTTTTAATATATAATTCAATAGATCTTTTCCCATTCACTCAAGATGGGTCCTTACAAATAAATAAGCAATCAAATGATTAAGTTATTAATTTTTTATCCTCAGACTTTAGAACTGTTGCATAAAAAGCATTTCATAGGTTCTTTTTCTTTGAAAACTGGAACACACACACACAAATATTCGGTGATCTGATTTAAACAATAAAATAAGTGAGCAGTTAAATGAGAAGTGCCATACAAATATGACAAAGAAATAATGCTACAGAACATTAGATGATAAAATATTTCCTGATGGTAAAGAAATAAACAGAAGAAATGATAGTGGTTTAATCTCTATTAGGAACAATGCAATGTATTTCATCCCACATTGTTCCATACAAACCACCATTTGCTGTCTGAAAATAAATAAATAGGTTATGATAGACAGACAATGGGAAGGATAATTACAACTTATATTATTCTGTTTTATGGTCACCCATTGCATTGTTTCCAGTAAAAGTCCTTTCTAGATGGTGGTCTGATGGGGATCCAGGCACTTCTCTAAGTCTCTCTAATGCAAATCCCCCCCTTTTTTTCTTTGAGTGAGCATGGAACACTAAACATACCACAGAAGTAATGTACCCTCCTCTGGCAGCCAGAGTTTTTTCAGTAGGGTCAAGGTGTGTATACGTGCTGTGCTCTGCTCAAGCCCCAACTATACGACACATATTGGCTCACCAACCATTTGTGAGAAGATACTCAGATGGTCATGTTCTGGGTTCTTTTGCTTCCCCCCCCCTCCCTTATATTCCATACAAAGACTATACCCTGGTCAAGACAAGATGCAGTCTTCCACAGGTATGCCCCTGTAGAGCTCCTGCCATTAGGTGTCACACTCCATGGGTTTCCCTTTGGGTGTTTTCTGAAGGGATCTTATCTAGATAAAATGTGGCACCAGCCCCTCCACCACTTCAAAGTGTGATTCTACCATTTGTGTGTGTGTAGATGAGTTATCATCTTCGAAGTTTACATTTTTCCTAATCTGAAAATGTACTTCTGACAGATACTAACCTCTTCACACTTTTCTGCCCATCCT